AAATTTCATTTTTAACTTTTAATACAAGATGTTTTGCTACTTTTAAATGATCGAAATTTATTAAATTTCATTTTTAACTTTTAATACAAGATGTTTTGCTACTTTTAAATGATCGAAATTTATTAAATTTCATTTTTAACTTTTAATACAAGTTGTTTTGACAAAAAAAAAAAAAGAAAAATGAATGAAAATCAGGAAATATCAGGAGTAGCTTTCATTGTACTATCTTCCTTACATCAATTACATCAATATGCTTCCATCGAGAAAACCGATCGATCGATATCATAGTGTTTACTTAATTATACTGCTTAATGGATTTGGTATCGTAATCACGTGGAATATGTGGATTACTATCGCTCCTACGGTTAGTTAATGCTAATTGATGGCATTGTTAATTTTACTACAATTCATTACATCATTTAAAATTTTTTTTTCATTTCCTAAAACAATAAAATTTCGGCAATTCTTTAGAATACTAATTAATAAATAATGGTATAATGTGATAAATAAAGCATATAATTTCATCGTTTAGAACTGATTTTTGGTAATGAATTTTTTTTTTTTGAATACTAATTATCAATTTTTATTTTTTCGTTTAATAAACATGAAAGTAGCAAAAATATAATCAAAAACAATAAGTAAATGATGAAATGAAATTTTGAAATTAAAATTATTATAGTATTATGTGGAATATAAATTAATTGAAGTGGACAGAAATAACACACAACATTTGTCGTCGTCGTATGCAACAAACTTTCTTATTTATTTGATTTTGGCTTCAAATTTACCTTGTTTCATACTTAATTTAATTAATTTATTCTTTACTTTCAAGTTAGTTCTTTTTTTTTTTGCTTCTCTTTCATTCATTACTATATAATTTTATTTCATTACTTAAAAAATTTTTGAAATAAATGGGATTATTAATTGGCTTAATCAGGTTAAACTGGTTTGAACTGTTCATAAAAATTTAAATAAAGGATTTTATTGTGGCATTCTAAGGTGAATAAGTATAAAGCAATAGTTTCCTAATTAGTTTAAAACTTCTAAGGATATATTCACATCGATTTGCTAATAAGAAACTTAACTTAATAAGCAATACGATTTTTATTGTACCATTATCACTAAAAGAATTCATTTCCGGCATTGTTTCCGCATGAAATCATATTATTAGTAGGTTATCTAGGTGAACTGAACCTGAAATGATAAAAAAAAAAATAGGTAGTTGGATATTTCGGCTACCTTAATAATAGGAATTAACAGTGTTAAACGGGAGGAAAAAAAGAGATATGTGGAAAAATTGATTCAGTTATTGATAAAAATGATTAACCGGAAAAGATTACAGTGGCAGTCTTGAAAAACGAATTAACTTTTCGCTTACGGTTATCGCATTGATCTGCTTAATTACACTTGTATTCACCGTTATTGATACTTCCAGCAGTAAATCATTTTCTTTTATTTGCATGATTCATCAAAAAGTTTTTCATCCGGAAAATGCTACAGGAAAAAAACCAGATTACTTGATTGAAATCGGAGCATTTCTTGATTTATCCATACTCTTTTACATTTAGTAATTCATTATTACTTTCCACGAATACATTTTATTATTCACTTCTTACAGTAATATTGAGCAAATAATTGCTTTGACTGAAATAATTGATCCATTAATTATCAAATTTTATCATTTTAAATACCTTTTTTCAACAATTGAATTATCTTTTTTGGAAAATTAAAATCTAGTTTTAAAAATAGAAATTGTTGACATATTCAATACAATATGTTCCGTCTATTTAAAGCAAAATGTGAACAATATTTAGCCTAAAATTTGGCATCAATTAATCCTGGGAAACATTGTTAGCAGCCATTTAATCGTTTGTAAAAAAATAAAATATTAATTTAATTCTCGACAAAATAATTTAATTAATTTTTTCTCGAGTGGTTACGATATTTTTTATTATAACAATTACTACGATAGTAATACAAAACGCAGCATGTGGTCTATATCAAAATTCACTATTTGGTTTGGTTGCAATTTTCCCACCGCGATATACCAGTGCTATTCTTCTTGGTAGTAATATATGCGGTATTTTCGTATCCACCGTTAATATTATTACACTTGTTGGTTAGTTTAATATTAAGAAGATTTGTATGTTAATTGAAGAATATATGAAATGTTTATTGGCTTACTATTATTGCTCTCAATTAATGGGATTTAATGAAGATTAATTGGTAATTATGGTTAAAAATATTGGAAAAGTTTTGAATAAAGAATTTCAAACAATTTTTAAATTTATTCATTCAATTTCGAATTCAATCACTCATTCATTTTTTAAAACTGAATGGTAAAAATTTATCCAATTTTATGGAAATTTTAATTTTAAATTTATTATTTTCATCATTTAAGCAACAAATAATATTCAAACTGCTGCTTTCTTCTATTTCTTCATATCACTTTTAGCAGTTCTCGCATGTTTGGGCTCATTATTTATGCTTGTAAAATTAGTAAGTGCTTGAAATCAATATTATTTTATTACGGAATTTTTTAATTTAAAATTTCAAACTTTTTCGCATAATCATGCTAATTTCATCAAGCATATTCTGTTTCAATAAAGAATTACATCCAATGATTATACGATTTACTATAATTATTTGAAATTATCTTCATTTAATTAAGATATACATATGATAAAATAGCAAATTCGAAAAATATATGCCATATATATTTGCATGTTATTGCAGGATTTTTATCAACATTACATGCAAAATGCAGCCGAAAAAATGGCAAATAAAAATTTAAATGAAATATTTGAATTTAAACGAAATAATAGCACAAATGAAATTGGATTGAAAATTGATAATTGCGAGTTTAACAAACGTACGAACATTTCAAACTGTGATAACATTGATTTATTAACTGTAAATTTCCGAATGAAATTATACTTGTATTACGACATTTTTAAAAAGGTTACCTTATTATGCTAATTAATTTATCAATAATTTTCTTTTTCTTAATCATTTGTAAGCTTTTCCTGTTATATCTTTAACAAAGTAATTTAACATTTAACATTTAGCAATGATCAAATAGTTATCGATCTCATTACAATTACGTCTAATATCTGAAAAAAAAAAATTAAACAAATTTAAGCAATGAACCACACCATAACAATTATACACTAAAATGCTTCATTATCAATGACAAGAATTTATTATCATCACATCATCCATTATCAGTATAGATTTTCTTAATGTCATCCATTTATTCCTTCCAGTTTGTCATATTTCCCGATCCATTTCTTATCATTTCATACCTTCTTTTTGTTATCAATGAATTTTCGTTTCATTTTTTAGATTAACTTATCAATTTCTCTCATGTAATTTTCTTTTTTCTTTTTCCTTTTTTTTTTTTATTTCACATTTTTGCTTATCTGTTGGATCAATCACTCCATTAATTTCTCAAAAATGGCTAACAAAATGAATGAAATGGATCTGATCATTGATGGAATTATCATAATAAAGTACTGAAAAGAGATATAAATATATTTTCCTTAAGATATGCATTCAATGTTTCAATATTTGGTTCATATTCGTTGTAACATTAGCCTTATTTCCAACAGTAATGGCTGATGTGAAATTTTATAGCGAAAATGGTAAATACAACTTCTTTATACCAGGTAAGTATAATTAATCCTTTTATTGATAAGTTTAAGTGGAAAAAGTTGAAAGTGTGAAAATGAGAATTGTGACATTTGTTTAACAAAATGGTTTAAATCAGGGATGGATAATTAATTTTTCCAGGAAGTCATATGAGAAATTAGAACGGTTTTCTAGGGCAGGAATAGTATATATAACTCAATTCTACCTGATACCGTATGCCTATACGTGTATATATACACTATTTCTTCATAAATAAACAGCAAATGAAACATTGTAATGAATTCGCTGAAAATATGAAGAATCTAATCGGTAGCATTGGAGAATTTTGATTTAAAGTTAGGTTGACATGTCTATTTACAGTATGACAAATGAAGAGATGAAAATTTAGGAAATTACTACATCAGAACAGCATTAATTAGAATCTGGGAAAAATACAAAGATAGATTATATTTAAAAACATCAAACTGGATATCACCATCTGAATCATTTTGTATAAAACAATTAGGAAAAGAAACCAGGCTAAATAATAAACATCAAACTGGATGTCACCATC